ATTTTTTGTAAGAATTTTATTGCACTTGCAACTTAATAAGGTCATATAAGTGTCGAAGAATAGATGTGTTACAAGAGAGTAACATACAAAAAAGGGAGAGATAAGGACAATAGATGTTTGATAGGAAAGAAGGAGCAAACCACACCAGAGCACCCGCCAACCACCCACTAAAACTGTTAGGGGCAAGAACATAAGACCAAAGGAAAAAAATGATGTAGTTGTTTTTTTACACTCACATCAACACAATTTAGATAATTTAGTAGGCGGGTTTTACACGCTGCCTGTCAGGGCCAACGGGGGATGAGAGGGATACAACATCCCAGCAGAAAGAGCGAGATACTCGATAAAAATTTTCTTCCCATTCAGGAATTGAACTCCGGTCTCTTGACAGGGTACCCATGTACCAATTCCCACCTTGGTGAAATTGGGAAAATTTGGGTAAAGCGCCGAAAGGCAACAATGCCGGGCCTGAGGCTCAAACCCCCGAACCCACAACCTCATGATTACGAGTCATGTAGCCGAACCACTCGACCACCAATGCCAAACAACCACCCACAGAAGAAGGAGAGTTTTACAGCACTTGCGACACAATAAGGTCATATATAAGAGCCGAAGATTAGAGATGTTACAAGAGCGTAACAAACACGAAAAAAGGAGGAGAGATAAGAACAATAGATGTTTGATCTCACCAGAGCACCTGCCAACCACCCAAAGAGGAATGAGAAGGCAAGTTTCTGCAGTAACTAACCTGTGAAGCTGTAGTAGCATCCTCTGGCTTCTTGTCATCTCGGATTCTCTGAAAGCGCGGAAACCTCAGGGAGATGCCTTTCTTGCTGTCAACCTGGGGGGGAAAAAGGTTTTCGTAAGTGTTTTACGGCACTTGCAACACAATAAGGTCATATAAGTGCCGAAGATTAGAGTTACAAGAGAAACAAAAACAAAAAAGGAGGAGAGATAAGGACGATAGATGTTTGATAGGAAAGAAGAAGCAAACCACACCAGAGCACCCGCCAACCACTCGTGGGAAAAATAAGATTTGATTTTTGGCTGTTTAAATGGAGAGAAGCACATCAACTCAGTAATAGACATTTAGAGAAGGGGAATAAGCAAGACTGACAGACATAAACATCAGGTGGAAAAGAAAAGAAGTTGACCCTATCAGTGGCAACCTCCAAACATCCGCAGTTAACAGTTTAGTTTTATTAAGAGTTTTACGGCACTTGTAACACAATTAGGTCATAGAAGTGCCGAAGATTGGAGGTGTTACAAGAGAGTAACAATCACAAAAAAGGACGGAAGATAAAGACGATAGGTGTTTGATAGGAAAGAAGGAGCAAACCACATCAGAGCACCCGCCTACCAACCACCGCAGCTATCAATAGACACTATTCATTATAGTCTAGTACATACTATGCCGGGTAATAGCTTAATCGCGATGCCGGGTAATAGCTTAATCGCGTCAATCTGAGCACAGCCACATTTCATAAGGAACTGATAAAGACAAGAACAACACTAAGTTAAAGGACAAGAAGCAGACCAAAAAAGAATGCCCATTAGTTAACAGCTTACATTTACTTTTATGAAAATGTAAAATAAGTATGGTATTTACCACGCACACGGTCAAAACAAAGAATAAAGTTTGTGAAGATAAGCAGTACATTAACCACCATCAAAGTAAGATTTAGTCCAACACACACACACACACACACACACACACACACACACA